ACATGATTACAGTGTTATCACCTATATGGAGTAAAGGATTGTTACTGTGTCATTATCTTCCATATAGGAACGGGGGTGTCAGTGTGTGGCCATTGTATATAAAGAAATATACCATGGAGGACATCTATTGTCTGTGGGCATATACCTACTGCAAGAACAAAGGCTACTGTATAAAGGTAGGATCAGTTCTCGGCAGACTCATCGTTCCGTCGATAAACGTTGAAATATAGCTTGCCGATCCACCAATAAAGCGTGCAAAATTACATAGGCCAATATATGCTCTGGATAATCATTGTGGTTGTTTTTGTTTGTTAGCAGGTACTATAGGTAAGTGAACGGGCAAATGGATTGTCAATGATATGAATGGTCAACAATATTAAAACCGATAGCAAAGGGTACCAGCGGTTTGCATTTTAATTCTATTGAGTGTAATCCTAAAATACAGAGTTTGTTCTTTTATTAACTCGACCTTTTCCTTGTGCCCGTTGTTCTACGTTGTAGAGAGGTCGTTAAGTATATCAACACCTGATTCAACATGTTCTTTCGTTAACCATTCCTCGTCCATGTTTTGTTCTTTTTTATTTAAAACAACAAACAAATTTAAAACAAATTATAGTGGTAAAAATAACGAAAAACAAAACGTGAATTTGTTTGGCCTAAATAGTCACAGGGTCGTGCTACTGATTGACTGGCAGTTTTACTAAAGAAAAAGAAAAACCTTTTCATTCCTATCTGAAAATCTCAGTACTTCCATAGCAGTGGGGTATCAAACAATGCACCTGTGTTATGAGAGTGGAGTAGCTGTGTGTGTAATTCATGCAGCTTTGCATGCAGCGTTACCCAAGACGTGTGTGTGATCCTTGGCAGATAACGTCGGTTAACGACTAGCCGTAAACAGTTATAAATGGGTACCCATAATGAACCATAAGCGGAAGGTTGTGTATGTGGAATCTCGAATTTTCTTCAACCTTTGGAAACTAAGGAAAATACCTTTAACCCCGTGTATTCTCGATTTGCGTTTGAAGTCTGTATGTTTCAAGTTCTAACCTTAACTAAAAGCCATTACTCTTTGTGTACTAATATTCCATTTGGAGGAGTATAATATTTAATGGTAATGAATTGGTCTATTAACTTGGTTCATTTCTCAACAATTCTGCAACCATCTACCCAGTGTGCATGCCTGCCAATAGGTCAACTCGGAGGTGGATCTCGTATGTAATAGCGTGGATATTCTAACACATTACTCCTAATATGGAATATCCTGTCTTCTGAAGAGGTCTGCTGCACAGCAATACCCGGATGTTGTGGAAATACATTCCAAGATATAAGTGAATATACGCCGATATGGAAGTGGTAGTGCCTTTGGTTGATTCGGGTGAGTAAATGTAGGTTGGGCGTGTGTAGGTCTTGTTTGTGATGTTGTTGTTGATTTTGTTTATTGTTTTAAGTTATGAATTTGTTTTTATTTAACAAGGGGATAAAATGACAATTGCAATTTTGAATGAGCCAAAGCATTTTTATATCAAATGTTTTGGGTTTTGTTAATCAAAGAATTATGTATTGATTTCATATATAGTTTACGTGTACTAGTACCAGTTTTTACTGATAGAACGACATAAAAGGTTGAACGTTTGCTTATCCCTGCACTTATACAAATCACATAAAAAACATATCGTTTGTATAGCTATAGTTTCAACAAAATCAGTAAATGTCATTGGATTTTCTGGTCCATCGATCACTTTTTTGTCTGGGTTGTTTAAAGATCGCCGTTGCATGGCAGGAATTACTTACCCTTTTCGCGAGCACCTTGTGACGTCACTGATTTGCAGCCCTTACTCATTTTCAGTGATCCATTCATATATTTTTTTTACGCAAAATGGAAACTATTTCGGGGGATAATTGAGACGGGTTATTGTCTTTCGTTGACGTTTGATGTTATCTTAGGCAACCGATATGAATGTCATCCTTCAGCAATTGTTGTTGATGTGCACGTTGACCAAACCATGACTACTTGGCCTCAATACACAAAGTAGGCGGCAACCGTCCTGAGGCATTTAGATATCAGTACCTGCCAGAATATATGCCTGGTGTGTATAATTCAGTGTCTTAACCTGGTCGCGCCTTTAATTCGTACACTGAAATCTGACACGTTTATAAATTGGCAGTTGTAAGGGAACGATTACCTGTGTCGGTCTAGGGCCCAGATCCCGGTACACATGTATACAGTAGACTCGCCATTGTAATTGTTTACCGTGGTTTCCGCAGCACTCCACTACTTGCTTGGGTGAATCTATAGTCTGGGACGCGGGTTGTAGTGAAGGAATTAGTAATGTCTCACATAGCCTATCATGGTGGGATTAACTTGACCAGATTGTCAGTATACCTAACTGCCAGTTCCAGGTGCATAATGGGCTGACAATTATATGATGGGTAATGTGTGCACTTGTGTGCGTGTGTGTGTGTGTGTGTGGGTGCGTGCGTGCGTGCGTGTGTGTGTGTGTGTGCATCTTCCCAGGGCAAGAGAGTTAACTGACTTTGAAAGTCCAGTTTCCACCCTTGCCGAACTAGGCTGGAATTACTGGGCTCGATCGTGGCGCCACCAGTGGCTATTACCAGTTATGTCCCTTCTAAGCCTCTCCTATGGACCAATCAGATTCCACCTCTCGTATCACTTGCGTTTGCTTCGCACAAAATGGTGGCGCCCAATCAGGACGATCTGATCGATAATAAAGATCTATAATGTGATAAAACGGGTCTTATACATCGCGAAATGCATCAAATCACGTGAGCACCAAATACGTGGATCGATGCTCATGATTCATCAGTCACTGGATTGTCTGGTCCAGACTCGATTGTTTAACAGACCGCCGTCATATAGCCGGAATATTGCTGAGTGCGGCGTTAAACAATTGTTCATCGCACGTTATTGCATGTTATTATGAAAAACCAGGTCGTGTATATAAGAATACTCAAATCTACAAACTACGGGCTACATCAGTTTTGGATCACATTTGCAAATAATTCTGGTACTTTGCCAAATATACCAAGGTAATACGCAAACTGTATATACAATATAAATTATATATATAGGTGAACTTCATATGTGCTCAGCATTAGGTGTACGTGGTTAGATTTCAAAGGGGCACCAGACCCGAGTTGGCAGTATATACTGCTCAAAGTTTGCTAAGAATCACCACTTTATAAATTAATACGTCAAATTGTGTGCATCTGTTGAAAACGCCAAAGACATTATTGCATGAAGACATGTTTCATGAACAAAAGACACGAAGACATCAAAAGGGCTAGAGTAACAAAGCCGGAACATCGCTGGACGGAGTATTGAAATAAATTATATTTAAAAATGAATGTGTCAACGATATTTATTCTGAACGATTTTATTTGTGAGGCTACGAACTTTGCGAGTAAACCTTGTATGTGTTGTGAAATATGTAGCCATCAAGTTCAGAGACTGTGACTGTTAAATTGTCTATGGTCACAAACATTCACGTGAAGTATAATCTCATTTGCTAAATAAAAAGCATATAAAGGTATAAAGCAGTTTCTGAGATGAAATATATCTTATATTTGAAATACTATCAACAATGGCCATTGTCAACTACAAATTTAGGATCATTATCATCTACACAAAATATCAGCTCCATCGATCACTGCGAAACTCTTAAAAGTTTCATTTCTTTTCGTTTCTAGGAAAACAGTATATGTAAACTAAATGCCATGATTAAATCTATATCCCATTTTAGTGCGACAGAAATCCTACCAAAGCATCATCTCTCTTGGCAGTTCGGCTTCTAGCAAGATGGAGCGTAAAACAAATCAGAGTTGCGTCCCTTGGTCCTCTGGTCTTTAGTTCGAATCCTAGATCACAATCCAGCTCATAGTCATGCTTGTGGGTCTCACCGAAAGGGTAAACGTCTAAGACCTCAATCACGTCGGGCTTTCCTCCCACGCCAAGCCCTTAGACCTAGACTGGAAGCACTTTCCAAAATGAATTAACAAAATAACACAAAGTTCAGAGATATCAATTATTCTGGTCCCTTGGTGTGTTCAGAATGCATAAAAAACCCTGGAAACTCTGGAATGATACAACTATTTGTAAACAATGTTTCAGTCAAATGTATTACTGTTGCATGTTGTTTGTTTACTTGTATAAGGTAATTATATATAGACACTATTTACTGTTTATTGTAATAAAATGGAGACCGAGACAAACTCATTCACAGAAGATGAAGTTGGTTGTGCTATCTTTTCAGAGTTTCAATAAGATTAAAAAATTTACCAGAGACACATTCAATACAGTTTGGTCTGAACATCATTTAACAATAGATCTAAAGATTTCAACAACTGGGGTTTACGCGGTATATGTACTTGGCGTTCCGTTTGACCTCTCCAATCCTGGCACCGTACGTAGAGATGGATCTGTTCTTTCTGTTCTCTGCAGAAATCTTTTGTACTCATGTCAGAATGGAATCTCATGTGTATTTGTACCGGCGCATGTTGTGGGCGGGAGTGTGAACGAGTATTAGTTCAATAAACCTGTATCTATATATTCAGTTGTGTTAATATATAATTCAGGAACCGACAGAGATAAGAAAATAAACATCGACCTGATATATCCTAACCTCTACAATAGTTCCATCGTTGTAGGTGGCAACGACTCCACAAAAAGACGAAGGATATATTCATTTAATAGGATTACGAACCCGTTCAAATTAATTGAAGTTGGAAAAAAAAGCCACGTAAAAGTAACCTTTTAACATTTAGAAACATTCACAATCAAGACGTAGATATTATAAAATGAATAGTGTTTGAAAACAAATAATAGGAAGAATGATACTAAAAAGATAATATTTTGGATAGGCCGATAATCCAGTCTTTGACGAAATGCATCTATTTTTCTGTGAGATACAAGCCCACATTGTCCGAGAGGTTCCGATTGCGGTGTCTTTCGATAACGTTCGCCAACTTGCCATAGCATTCCGCGAACATTCGGAACAGACCACGGAGGCAAATACTGTTATTCGTCGATTTTCCATGTCCGTTTCTTTGATATTGTAATATATTAATTATTTGGACTTGGAACTTGGTGCAATTATACATTTCATTTCAAATTCAAACGTATCAGGTTTAGTGTTCCACTGACTCAACATATGTAAACACTTTCCTGTGCAAGACATCGAAACGCAAAGCAGAAGCAGACGTGATTAGGCCTATATTGGTCCTTCATCCTTCATGTTGTGTTCGTTGGTTCTGCGATGTTCGGGAGCGATAGATTAACAAATACTGTATGTGACGGGTATCGTTTGAAGCGTGGACATATACACGGTTACCAGAAGTGTTATTGATACAATTTCTGTTCTGATCAAACAAGAAGTTATGTCAGGAACGCGATTCAAAGTTACCAAGTCAGACTATGGTGTAACAAATGAGGGCGCTGCCAAAGATATCGAAATTCGCTTGGATGATGTGGATTCGTGCGTCAATACAGGTAGGATGATAGTGTAAATAGCTGACCATCACCTGATATATGATAATCAGATTGACAAGCGGAATATGTGCGTGTGTAACTTCTAAATAGGCCTATTGACTAGGCTATAGGATATACCCTGTAGAATTCAACGCTCTATTCAGAATTGCTGTATGATTGTGCACAACCTAGCCAGGATGTTCTATGAATGCATGGTCCTTTTCCAGGGTGTTTTAATAGAATACTAGACATTTTGTTGCCATGTTGTAGCTGCTTTCTTACGTGTGAGAAAGAAAAATATTTGCTGAGAAGTAGCCTAGAATTTTCCGAGGAAGAATAATCCTATATGCCCTACATTTATCCTGTTTTGGCAGACGAGATTTGAGCACCCTCTCCAATGGTTATGCCAATAGGTTTCTCCTAGAACACCTGAACAAGTGAACATTTCTTATTTTTGTTTACCTGTTTGAATTGTTCACACAAGAACTCGAAAAACCCAGTCACTTCCCAAACGAGGCAGTTACATTGAATCATATTAGCTCATATTAACATGATTGTTTTTGCAGAATACCTGAACAATCTTTCCACATATACACCGATAACTAAGATATTATCTTTGATATGACTCTGAATCTATAGCTTCAGATGGAACTAATAAGACACCAGAGAATGCTGTACAGGAGAATGGGGAACCTGGTCAGATGGCCTTATATGAGGTCAGTATTGATGTAGATGAATTCACTATTTAATGTAATAAAGGGTTATGTTAGTTTTTCCAAATAAATTAGCCTCTGATTATATTTGTAAGTGTACATGTTCAATTTTTGCTTGATTTACATCATGAATTTTTGGTATAGGTTTTATAAGAATTCAGATGTAGTAATTAGGATCTAGTTATTAACTAGTAATATTTAACAGCCTGTGGTCCAAAGTGTATCATTATTCATCGGCGACTGATTCTAACATTTTACTCATTCATCTATCTTAGGAGAACTTCAAGAAAAAAGGACGCTTGTCTCATCTCTTGAGTGGCATAACTCACTATAAGGCTGGTATAGCACCTGTACCAGATGAAGAAATTGGATCCAAAAAAACAAAGGCCAGTATGTCTTTCAAAACTAAGACTTTTTGTATTGAGTACAATTGATGTGTTAATGTTATATTTCATAAGTTATTTAACAAAGCAATTGTACAGGTGTGTGCAGTGATCACAATGATTAAGTTTGACATGACCATGCTTTTATAGCAGCCTATGACAAGAGGCTTCAAGTATTCAGTTTTACCTCAATTAAATAGACAGCTACTCAACTAGTGTTTAATTTTGTTCTATTACCATCAAGAACAAATAACTAGTGTTTGTGGAGGATAATAAAAAGTTTTAATGTGTATATTACATTGTTTTACTGTGTTCTTTTTTTGTCTATAAGTATAAAGCATATTATGTACAAACCTGACATCTAGGCTGGGATCTTATGATAAAGAGGCCTTTGCTTGCTTAACTCTGTACCAGGAAATAATAAAGATTTATGTATATTTTTGCAAATATGCCAAAATTCAGTTGACCAACAGTTGTAGTCTTATGCCTATATTCATGACATGTGCATACAACTATGCCATATCATTATGCTACACTATGATGCAATAGGCTCATTCATATTCTGCGCACAAGTAGATTCGTTACACAGCAAACATAAAATTTAAAATAGATTGACATTTATCATGGTATCAGTCAACATCTGTTCTGAGCTTTTCTATTGTTTCCAGAAAGCCAACCTTGGCACTATTCTTGGAGTTTACCTGCCCTGCATACAGAACATCTTTGGTGTGATCTACTTTGTGAGGTTATCATGGATAGTAGGCACAGCTGGGGCTCTCGAGGCATTCAGCATTGTCTTCATATGCTCTTCAGTGGTGAGAAATATGTTATTGCCAGGAAATTATGAAGGGTTGGTTCCTCATGGAACATCTGTAACGGAACTGAATTTAGCACAGACTACTCACTACTTGTGTATGTAGAATGTTGTTTATTGCTACCTGTGTTTGAAGTTAAGGGCAGTCCCAGGGTCTTTGAGGTTTGCTCCTATACTATTTGAATGAAGGGACCCCTTAATCATTCAACCTTCATTTCAATATTTGGGTTATGACAAGGCCCCCTTGGTGTTCATGCTCAATTTCAAACACTGGAAAAACATTGTGCAGATTATAGTAAAATTTGATACTATGATCGATGGCATGGTCCTAAACTGACAAATCTAAATCAAAGGTAGTATTCACAAGACGTACCGATTACCTAATGAACAAAAAAAAGTATATGACTTAAGATTTGCTACCGTTAATATTAACTGTCGATACAAAGGTTAAACAAATAATTATTAACTGCCTGTCACAATGATCAGAGGGAACAAAGTCTGTTTCAGATCTGCTACAGAGAGTTTTGACTCTAATGTTTTAGAACATTACTCAGCCATTTACGTATCATTTCCTTCATGTGCATATTTTAAAGGAGTGGGTATTATCTGAAATGTTCCAGAAGAGTCTTTTTGCTGTCTGTGACTTAAGCCACTAGTTCAAAGCCGAGTCCAGTAAAATTCTGTTCTTACTGTAATTGGTTCATTTTGGGAAACCTAGAATGCATGCGGTGTGTTTATGGATTATAGGACAACAGGGGTCAATTTAACTGCTACCCCCTTGGCCCATGGCCAGTTAAAATTACAAAAGGCTTGTTGAAACGTCAATTAGATGGCCTGTCTTGCTAGTCAAAATTTCACCCCTTCTCTGTGTATGTTTAAATTTTTTAGATTGGACACTGGTCATGAATTGTGTATGGGGGAGGGGGTTATGGTAAGCTCAAAGATCATCTCAGTAGAATACCCTACTGGCGGCTATTGTATAATGTCTGACATCTTTAATTGCTCATAAAATCACCACAAATTGAGGCAAGTTTAATCTCAGAGTACAGGAAAAGATGTTTTAGGGATGAGGAGTTCTAAGATTTCTGGAACCCCCTGGGTAACTCAGTCGCAGCCTCCCAACATTTTGTTTTGGGCCAGTGAGTTTTAGGGAGAAGGGCCAGTAACTTTTGAAAGGAGCAAGCCCTGCTGGCTGCAGACAAATTTATTGTTAAATCTACCCCTGGGACAATATGGTAACAGGACAAATTGAAGTGATGCTTTCCTGTACAGAGACTACAGACACTGATGTTTTGGAACATTTATGGATAAGCAGAAAACTTACACAAGACTATTTTTCTTGTATTTGTGTTGCAGAGCTTGCTGACATCGTTTTCCATGAGTGCCATAGCCACCAATGGAGTAGTGACGGGTGGAGGGTCCTACTTCATGATTTCCCGCTCCCTGGGACCCGAATTTGGTGGAGCAGTGGGGATACTCTTCTATCTGGGTCTGTCGGTCTCTGTAGCCATGTACTTCATTGGATCCATAGAGATTCTCCTGGTCAGTTGAACGTTTTGTTGTGTTTTAGGATAAACCATAGGCATAGGGACTTGGCACAATTTGAATTTGTTGTGGATTTGTACCTTAATCAGTGTTTAATATTTAGAATTATCTCTGCTCGTCTTTTATCACAGATTATCTATAAACTGACAGTGATAAAAGAAGAGGTCTGTTGAACTAACAGTAATAAGAGAATAGGTCTGTTGCTATTTATTTGTCTGGTGCTGTGTCAGACAGGAATATTTTCTATGTTGGAAGAATAAACCTTTACACTCATTAAGATCAAACCCAAAACACCGTCGATCAATACAAAATTACCCAAAGAATTCTCACCACTAATACTATTCTGTATATACTCAGAATGATTTGTGCTCATTGTGTCAGAATGAAAAGGAAACAATTACTCACTTGTTTTGGGAATATGATGTAATGAAACGATTTTGGGATGAAGTGTCAGTGTGGATAGACCAGTGCTGTCATGTTTATAATATGACATTTTGTGCAGAATTGATACTTTTGGGAGTTAAAGAGAACATAAAAACAGATAAAGTGTTTGATTTACTTTTACTAATTTCAAAATTCCGATTTATCGATGCAAATTCCAAAATACAAAACCTTATTTTCATGTATTTTCAAAATATCTTTTTCACAATACAACATTGAAAAAGATATTGCCTTCATTGTTCAAGACAGGTAATCAACAGAAATTCTATGGTGCTTGGATGCTGTATCATCAACTCTTCGAAAATGAGGAGCAGCTTTCAATTTAATTTTAGTTTTGTACTGAAGACTTTAATGTTTGAGGCCCTGTACTTTCCTACACTGCAATATGATATATTAAATTTAATAGTTTATGCATACTTGATATATGCAGTATGTTTGTATTACTAGAGTGAATGTGTGAGTGAGAAGATTGTTATTTTCTGTATAAAAAAAACTAAGATGTACTGAAGAGTTGTGCTATATGTCATGTGCTTTCTGCTACCCTGGGCGGAAGCACATTTTATGTCACAGGTACTTCTTTTTTTTAAATCAATAAAAGAGAAAAACAACATCAAATCACCAATCACTGATCCCCAACCCAACCATTCCACTGTATATACAATGGTAAAAGTAACTATTTTTGTTTATCAAAACTCATCTCTTATGGTTTGAAGTGTGATTGTGTTTAATTTGGCTGAAGTTCGGTCCCTATTGTTGCCTCCAGATTTTGTTTCCTACCTCAAAATTTTAAATTTGCCATGCAGCTTTGTATTCTTTACACATGTTGTGAATAATGTAATGTGTGGTTATTTTCATTCCTAATTACAGCACATAAGTTTGAGTCAGGTGTGACTAAAGATTGTGAGAAGCCTATCCTTAAAATTCCTAAGACCTTTAAATTGGAAATTGGAAGATCTAGAAGCGGTGCACCCCAGAGGGCCCCACCCCACACCTTTTTTTATCAAGCACCTAACATGCCAATCATTCATGTATTTTTCATCACTTTGTGACTAGGATAATGTGTGCACCCCCTTTTCTGTATACTGTGAACTCTGTGTATGATTATGATTTATTAATATTTTGATATTAATTGCCTATATTTACAGTCTGGTGCAAAAAAAGATTGTTTTTCATAAGCTCAAATCAGCATGATGAGGTACATCAGATGATAACATCTATTTTTATAATGAATGATAGTATTGTACCAAGATCCAGCCATATTGTTCCTCTGCACATGAGTGTTATCCCAACACCTGCCAGATGAGCAGTGATAGTTGTGGTAAGGAGGCAACTCAGTGGTGTAGGAGATATCACACCGGTAAAGTCGTGATTTTGTTACACGAGAAATGTCAAGGCAGAAATCATAACAGCTGCTTCACATCAGGAGGCAACAGTAGACTTGAACTAGACTTGTAGAAGATGCTTGTAGAAGGAGATTTACCACTACTGTAGATTCTGAGACCCAAATATTTTGGAGTTATGAAGAAGGGTCATGATATTTGTATCATGGTACAATGTTTGTTTGTTGCTTAGTGGTATGCTCATCAATATTCCAACTATAATGATGATGGCCTGTAAATAATCAAGTCCGAACCAGTCAATCCAGTGATTGATATGAGCAGCTATCCATCAGGGTACAATGACAAGCTATCAACCAATTCACCGAGTCTGACCACATTTATCCACTAAGTTGCCACTGACAACCAATATAAGATAAATTTATTTTGGCTGCCATTTAGTAGCAGCCCCATTGGTTTCAGACAGTTAACTGTTGGTAAAAAGCTCTCATGTCTGAATTGTCAATGTGCATTACAAATCGTGACTCTATAGGGGTAGCCTAGTGGTCAAAGTGTTTGCTTGTCATGTCAAAAGGACTGGGTTTGACTCCCCACAATGGGTATAATGTGCGAAGCCCATTTCTGGTGTTCCCTGCCACATTGCTTGAATATTGCTAAAATGTGTCATAAAGCTATATTCACTCACTCACCTTCAGAAAAGTTTCAAATTACAGTATTCAACGTAATAAGCGCCCCGCTCTAATAAGCGCCCACGGCGATATTTGCTAATATCTTGGCTAGTGAACAATCCTAATTAGCCCCCCTTCCGATTTATTAAGGTACACAAGACTTATTTATTCGTGTATAATACGCACTCGAGTGTTATATGCACCCTTAATTATCGGCATTTATATTCTGGAGTGAGTATGGTTTTACACCGCTTTTAGCAATATTCCAGCAATATCACGGCGGGGGACACCAGAAATGGGCTTCACACATTGTATTATATTCTGGAAAAATTGTATCTGTCGTATATAAACAGTTAAGACTGTCAGCATAAACCACGAAATTTATCTTTCAACTTCTGTTTTTTCCACCAAAGTAATAGTCTAATAAGAGCCCCCTATTTCTTATTTTTAGAGCGCCCTGGGCGCTTATTACGTCGAATACGGTAGGCCTATCTGTATGTAAAAAGAATTTATGAAAGAGGTTATGACATATAAATGTTGTTGTTTTTCAGACGTATTTGGCCCCAGAGATTGCCATTTTTACAGTGGAGAGTGAAGCGGATATGTACAATAACTTCCGGGTGTACGGAACAATTCTGCTGCTGCTTGTTGCCCTTGTGGTGTTGGTTGGAGTGAGGTTTGTCACCAAAGTGTCTTCACTGACTCTCGCCTTCGTCATTGTGTCAGTTATCTGCATATACATTGGGATCTTTGTATCAAACTCCGATAACAGTGTCAGGTATGTCTGAATCTTTGGCTATAAAGATACTTTCATGGTTCTCAGTTGATCCAGATCAGTATAAAACATTCCTACATGATTTTATTTGATTAATTTCTACAAGAATCACAATACTTATTAGAAAATATGCTTCCATGAAGCCAACACAAATGTTTCAAAAGTCATTGCCAGAGAAACAATCATTTCAGCTTATTTTCCCCGCCACAGAGCTAGGGATCGAGACAACACTTTTCAGAAAACTATATCATTTGGAGAAATTAAATTTTACACTCCAATGTTATTTGACACATTCTCAAATGAATTGGGACATATTTTCTCAGAAACACCTGAAGTTACATGAATGAAAGTTTGCATTCTTATCGAAGAGATACTTGTCAAGACTGAGTTGGTGGCATAAATTATTTTTTTGTACACATTTACGGCCCTTGATCCATGTTATTTAACTTAAGACACAGTGTCTGCGTTAGGGACAAGTTTTCTCAGAAACTACTGAAGTTACATATGTTGAGTTTGGATGCCAATAAAAGAGGATATAATGCATTCCAAGGGATGGACTATGATAAACTTTGAAGAGAGCAGTTATGGGTGTAAGCCATTTCATCAATCAAGCATGATCACTGATTCATTCCAGACTCTAAAGAAATTATCAAAACATACAGTACACTACACCATTTCAATACTTTACAGGACCCTCATATTGCCTGCAAGGACCCTTAAAATAACTTATTGGGGGTCCACTGGACCCCCATTTTTGTAAGTCAAGGTAATACCAAGTATATATTTTACTACTGCAATCAATCACTGAAACATTTTTATTACAAGTTTGTAATATTTCTAAATACCCATATTATGTTGTGTGTATGCCCTCATGTCAAGTTTGGACAGAACACCCTCAGTATCCCATGCTTATCATAATAGAAATTCAAATAGGAATCAGCTAGTTACCGGTACAATGCTTGACAGCATGGATTGTTGCTCATGCTGTCAACCATTGTTTTTACTTGTCCAAACTCCCAAGTGTCATCAGATAAGCAGCCTGTACCCCGTCTTGTCAACTAGCCCAAATGTGCCCCTAAGCATCATAGAATGAAGTATTATTAGCTAGATCAAACAGAATGTTACTAGACTTCAGACTAGTGGATTAAGTCATTTACTGCATGTGGTTGTTATATTGCCTATTAGGGAGTTATGACTCCAGAGTTAGAAATTGGCACTAGTCCTGTAGTCCTTGCCAAAATGCCCAATAGTTAAGATATTATAAGGACTAGCAGAAATTTGCCATTTTAAGGGTTTTGCTATGTTATCATCATAAGAACTAAAAATGTTAGCTTCTACCACTGAATTCTGCTGGTATTACTGACATCACCTGTGTTTACTTCAGTGTGTGTATGCTGGGAGACCATGTCCTGCCCTACAGTAAAGTGGTTATGAATGGCACCATGATGTGCATCAAGAATGAAACAGGACCACTATTCAACATGTTCTGTACAGACCTAAACAGCTCCTACACCTCATGTGATCCTTACTTCCTCAACAATGATGCAAAGGTGGTGCCAGGAATTCCAGGCATTACTAGTGGAGTTTTCATGGGTATTGTAATTAGTTGTTATATGCAAATCATTTCTTCGGAAGTGTAATATTATGGATTTCCAAAAGAAATTTAATGACAAATGTGTTGAAGAAATAATTGTCATTGGAGTTTGAGCATTTATGTAATTTATTGTATTCTTTCTTGTAATGTTAATGAAGCCTGATCACCCTTACCAAACCTAATATTACCAAAATAACAAATAATTATGTAAGAAATAGAGATTACTACACGAGTGTCTGTCAGATACCATTTATCTTACGAGTTGTTTCAAAACATATCTAACAAGCGGAAGCAAGTATTTATATTTGGCTAGATTTAATAGTGAATGCTTAAAGCACTAAAACATTATTATAATTTTAATTCTCGAAATAGAATGTATAGATAGTATTAGCATTTCAGGGTGCCTTTGTACAAAGTGATCTTTGTACAAGGTGATCGTAACTCCTATTCCTTAACATAGAATTATGACAGGTGTAACGCAAAGGTTGTTTTGTACAACGGCACCAGGGTCACTCAGTGCCTTGTTGATTTCAGACAACCTGTATTCCCATTACACTGAGGCAGGCGTCCACCCAGACTCCACTACTGTAGCAGACAAGAAGAGAGGGGATATCACCACTGATATAGCAACCTCCTTCATGATCCTGTTGGCTATATACTTCCCTTCTATTACAGGTAGATAGTGTACAATATGTGCTGTGTGTGCCTGTGTTAGGGCTGAGACGAGTCCAAATTTACTACCCAGGTATCCCACCCACTATTACCTTACACTACGTGGGTTACCGCTGTAGTTCTCAAGGGTTGTGTACAAAATGTCCTTTTTACAGAAGCCCTGTCAAAACTATTTAGATACACGTATACCAACTTGTTGTGTAACAATGGAGTTATATTGTTATTGTCATGAAACAATATATCATGTGACTAACCACATGTCCAGGTAGTCCTTTCAGTCCCACCCTAGCCCTGAGTTTGTTGTGTGACTCTGCTCTCAGCAATATGTAAATAATCATGTCTGGACCAGACAATCCAGTGATTGATTTTATGAGCAATGCTTGATGCCGTTGGGTTATGTTGCCTCTCCATCAATCAAGTCACTTCGCTTGATCACATGATATATCAAATCGCATCTTACGACCAGCATCGGTTGCTAGGGAATAATTCTAACCTGAAATCCACACAAGTATTGTTGTAAATGTATGTTATTACCAAATAGGTCAACTTCCAAGACTTCCATGTGTTTAGGTTTGTCAGCACCATACCTCTGGGTTTCACCACAGTGGTCCATGTCTAGACCTGCAACTGAATTACTGTTCAATGCTGCATTAAACCAAACTCACTCACTATTCCAGGCACTCAATAGTAGAAAACTGACAAACTGACATCAGATGTAATTTGTTATTCCCGTCAAGTCAACAATCGCCAATTAAAAGTTGGAAAAACATGAAGAGATGAAGAATTTTGGAGAAAAACATTTTTATTGATTTTGAAGATGTTTCACTGCTACTTCGTGGATGATGAAGGGGCTAGAAGAAGCCCTGAAACATGTTACAGTTAATGAATGTTTCATTTCTCTGTAATTCCAATGTGCATGAAATCTAAATAGAAAGGTCACAACTGCGACTTTTATTTTTAACATGATTGGATTTTTTTCAGTTTGATTAATTTGGCATCTTTCACAGCTTTGTTTACAAATCACAAATGGTGAATGAAAGGAAACTTATAGAACTGTCTCTTGTCTTCCTGTTTATTATTTTTAGCAGTTTTCAGTTTTGAAAAAAAAGAGCCAAATATTTACAAATAAAGTTCTTTTAGTTCTTGTAATTTCTCTTTGTGTTTTGAGAGGTGGAAGGGGGTGGGGAGGGGTTTGGCGACTAACCATATGGTTTGGGTGAATATACCTATTAACTAAGTAATTTGGAAAAAAAGAGCCATTACTACAAATATGTTCATGGTGTACAGTAATACTTTGTAGCCAGAAAGAAACTAAATTGGTTGACAACAGGCCTGTATTTGCTATAATCAAGAAAGTACAATTACTTTTTTGGGAATAAATAGGTGTAATCTGTAGTGGAATGTTTCAGGTTTTGAACAAGGTGCCAACTATTCTGGTGACCTAGCAGATCCCCAGAAATCTATACCAAAGGGAACACTATGGGCAGTTGGATCCACTTCACTGATTTGTATCCTTTCTGCAACCTAGAAGCACATCGTCATAGATAATAATAATAATATACTAGTGTCACCATGCCAATCTGTATTCAAACAGCAATTTAATGTGTTTGGGGCTTTTACCCGCATTCCAGCTAAATTTAAAATCAATGATTTGGGTGAGTAGCTGACTATGAAGATAAACCATAATGCATAGCATGTTTACACAGGCTATGACTTTAGCCCCTTGTCTGAAGCCTGAGTCTTGTAACATTTTGCATGGTCTAGTAAGCTTAATTTATGACAGTCCTTACGTAAGGAGTAAAATTGTCTCAAAAAGATGTAGAAGGACCAGTTCAGGTGTTTGGCACAGATTGGTGGTTATGACTGTCTCAAAATTTGATTTGTGCAATGACTGAAGTTGCAGATTTATATTTCAGATATATTTTATGTTTGGTTATGTTTTGTAAGAGCAGCATGTGCCGCTGTTAATGTACTTAACATTAGCTATTTACTTCTATCAATTACACATAATACAGGAGAGAGGAGATTCTTGTGATCATTCTTAACATCTATCAGATCTGTCATCAGTGTTGTTCTTTGCTGCCTGTGTAGAAGGACCATTGCTAAGGGACAAGTAAGTATTTTTTCTTGCATCTTTAAATAACCTGTTGAAATAAAGAGTTTAAAGATTTGTAGGCAGTTTCTTTTTGTATTTGTAGGTTTATCAGATTGTTATGCTTTATTGATTGACATGCTTTTGAGCCTTTTTATGAGAAGTCACTGAAGTGGTTGATTTGACAGATTTCATCTCATAACACAGGACAGCAGTTACTGCCACATTATTCTTTTAGTTGATGAACCAGACAGTGAGGATTTAATCCTAGGATTTCACACAGCAGTCTGTGTCTGAAATGAAGGCCCACCGCAGAACATTATAGGAATCCCCACTATATGTGGTGACAAATGTTGGAAAAGGATGTCGCAAAAACATTAAGAAAGATTGACATGAAAAATTGACTGACCACAACATCGAGAAAAACGCATGTTAGCTAGATATTTCATGATAGCAAATCTGATGCAATGAGTGGATGGACATAAATATTTTAATTCTTATGTGTTCAGGAGTACTTGACATATATATATGGCACTCAAAGTAATTAGTCAGCCCCCTGTACTTACTTGTGACTTATTATGTGACCTGTGAAGATCTGGGGTAGAATACCAACCTATTGCCTTCAGCAACCAATACTTGCTGTAATAGGCGACAATGCTTGTCGTATGAGGCGACTAACAGGATTGGGTGGTCAGGCTCGCTGACTTGGTTGATGCATGTCATCATATCCAAATTGCATAGATCGATGCACATGATGTGATTTACTGGATTGTCTGGTCCAGACTCGATTATGTACGGACCGCCATCATATAGCTGGACTATTGCTGAGTATGGCACAAAACAACAAACAAACAGACTTGTAATGAGGGCAGCTAGAGGCATAAGATGAAGTTGTACAACAGCATTGGAAACATGTTTCCAGTTTCATAATAGTAAATCTGATGAAATGAAATGAACATCCATAAATATATTCATGTGTGTGCAAAAGCACCTGACATGATGCCTACACTGGTACTCTAAGTACCAATAATTAAAATTGAGAAAAGATAAGTGTAGTTGACTGCAATGACTGTTTCATGTCTTGGTTTGTTTGTTTGTTTGTTGTTTAGCGCCATAGTATATTCCAGCTATATGATGGCTGCCTGTAGATAATCGAATCTCGACCAGACAAAACAGTGATTGATATGGTGAGCAACAATTCCTACACACTTAGGATAGGTTGGCATGCTTTCAACCAAGACACCGATCCTGACCACTTCATCCAGTAGGTTCCCCCCATATGAGAAGCATAGGTTGCTGGACACGAATCATAAACCAGACTCCCCACAGGGTTTGAATTACCATGACTGTGTGTATTGCAGGTTTGGTGAGAGTATAAATGGAGATCTGGTGATAGCACAGTTAGCTTGGCCCACAAGGTGGGTGATCATCATTGGCTCTTTCCAGTCTACAGTAGGAGCAGGCCTACAAGCACTGACAGGTAGGTACAGGACTGAGCCCCTTTCCACAAACAGTGTTAGAATTTGACACTGTAGTCCTGAGAAACTGCCCAAAAGTTAAGGTATCATAAGGACAAGTAGAAATTTGCCCTTTTTGAGGGTTTTGCTACATGTTATCATTAAAAGGACTAGTGGACTAAAACTGTTTGTTTCTAACACTGAAAAAGCGATCATAGTACTATGACGGTCGTAAGTCTATGTTATAGTATGGGAGTTACAATCGTCTCAGCGCTACAAACACTTTGTGGAACAGGGCCCTGTTCATACAATCATTTCAATCAGCAGGTGGTTCATAAATTATCAGATGTACTCACTGATTTAAGGCCATTGCTCCATGCTTTTCAAATTAGTGTATACTGTGTGAAATGGCATGGCAACAAGTTTTCTTGGAAACTACTGAAGTAACATGAAAGAAAGTTTACATGCTTGTCTATGACTAAGAGGTGTTTGTAAGATCAATTTCATCCCTCCACTTTTCAAAACGATCAGCAATTTCAATTTTCAATTTCCGGAGCAGAACTCCTCAAAAGTTTTTTTTGTTTTCATGACGACAAGTTGGACTAAATCTGAAAACAAGGGTTGTGCTCGTTTCTGGAGAAGAACTCAAAAAAACGTTTATACTAGATGAAACTTGCTATTCATATCAGTCAAGGGTGAACTGGTGCCTTTTGATGATTTAGGATATTGAAAAGTGCTGAACAGCATTATTCTTTTGTTCGCTTAACAGAAAGTACCCAATGGCAGTGAACACAAAGTGGGGTATAAGTAGCCAAACTCCATTTCCAAACTGCACCAGAATGGGGGAAATGTCATCTCCTGATGACTCTTGTGTAACATTTATTATGATTACTTGTTTCCAGGTGCTCCGCGACTGTTGCAGGCTATAGCCAAGGACAATGTCATACCATTCCTGCATTTCTTCAGCCATACAACCAAAGGTGGTGAACCAATCCGGGGACTTATTCTCTCCACTTTCATAGCTGAAATGGGAATTCTTATTGCCAAACTGGACTATGTTGCTCCCATTGTAACCATGTTCTTCCTGATGTGCTATGGGTTTATCAACTTGGCATGTGCTCTTCAGACGTTACTTCGTCTCCCTCACTGGCGCCCTCGGTTCTGGTGCTACCACTGGAGTCTGTCCCTCATGGGGCTTGCTCTCTGCCTCAGTCTCATGTTCATATCCAGCTGGTACTATGCTCTCATTGCCATGGTGCTGGCATGTGCTATCTACAAATATGTGGAATACAAAGGGTTGGTACTGTATTTACTGCTTTTATTTTAACTGTTAAATTAGCTTATCTACTTCACAAGGAGTTTAAATACTATACTTTATGTTTATCATCATTTAAGACCCACTATGACCAAATGTATGTCTATTCCCATGATAACTTAGGCAAGAGGGAAAACACTTTAAACTAAATTTATTTTGGCTTTATGCCTATTTCCATATTTCCATTGGGCTAGTGGCATTTTTGTTTCTGCTAGCTCTGCAAAAAGTTACTACCTTCTTCTACTACTGTCTAAAGTTTCAATCCATACTGTACCATGAATACATAAAAATATTAAGAATTAGTCAGAATATATAGATTGAGAGAAATCGGAAATTGCTTAATTATTTATTACAAGAAAGACTGGAAATGTTGTGCCAAATGTCTATCACAGCGATTTGACATTTGGAATTGGGAGGACGATAGATACTAAAGCTCACAGGCCAGGGGCAGTAGAATTTTAACTTTATTAGCATTAGGTACTTCCTACTAGCCTCGCACCTATGGGTGAGTGTTAATTTCTATCCCTGTAAAACACCCACCTTTTTAGTTTTTGAGGGGTGGGGGAAATGTTATCCTTTAGTACAATGGTGAGTAACAGTATTGCTTTACACTACAGCAATCTTGCAGCTATTTGCGTTGTTTCTCATTTCAAGTTGAGTGTTTTCAGGAGTTCAAGTTTGTTGGAGTTTTCATCCCAAAATGCAGTTGCCCATTTGTATTTTCTGCTTGTTTAATATGCTGTTCTTCTGTGGAGGGGAAGGTACACCGGTAACCCAAAAAATAAAATCTTAAATTTAGAGACTTGATTCTGTGTTGTGTTGGACAGTGCTGAGAAGGAGTGGGGAGATGGTATGAGAGGCTTGGCTATGTCTGCTGCCCAACACGCCCTCTACAGGATGAAAGGATCTTCCAGTCACACCAAAAACTGGCGGTAAGTTTGTACAGACAGTCTTAAAGTGCAAATTACGTGGGTTTATACAAGTTTGCAGAATTGGATAGATTGTTACATTGGTAATGCAAATATTGTATTCAAAACATCGAAAGCGGCACGTAAATAAGGTGTATTTGCACATTTGTCCTGTCAATTTCAAAGGCAGAGGTGAATATAGAGTGAGTGACTGAGTATGGTTTTAAGCCGCTTTTAGCAATATTCCAGCAATACCTTGGCGGGGGACACCAGAAATGAGCTTCACAGATTGTACCTCTTCAGCGTGACAAACGAACGCTCTTACCACAAGGCTAATCAACCGCCCCAGGTGGATATAGAGGCTCTATATATGGTCATGTTGGAGGTAATTTCCTCCAAAACTACACACTTGATCCCAAAACAAGCCCGCCCCTCCCATTCCCAAGCCTCCGTTCACAGTCATGGTTGGCTGAACACTTTCTCTGCAAAGCAAATCTTTTTAACCCTTAGACATTCTCCTATCCACAATTAAGAAATGACCGCTTGTACACTTTTGATATGAGTGGAATTATAGGATTGAAATATACCCCTCTTTCTTTCAACAACGGAAATATGACAAGGGCCTTTCAGGTCACAAATTGAGTTTACTATTCGTAAAAAAAAACTGTGCAAAACATACTACTTCTTCAATTGAGTGTATTGTTCGCGTTTCAGTACTTTCATTTATTTTGTTTTGAGACTTTTCTGTGTTAAAAATATTCGCTGATGTGTTTATGATATGATGAAACATCGATCATATTTACTTCATTCCTTTTTGCTGTTAACTCATCATAGCTTGACAATATGGCAAACTTGTTGCCAAATTTTGCAGATGTCATTGTATAAAGTGTTTCTTGTTAGTAAACTGTATTATCACTGTCATAATTATTGATGCTGTGATTTCAAATATTTGAATGCAAGTCAGTTTACAATAAATGCAGTGGTAAAGATGTTTTTATTGTTTGTCAAGCCAGCACTACCTATTTGCAGCAAAGGACGCATAGTTAATAACATATTAAGTAATAGTTCATGATATGTTCAAGCTCAAATCTGAGCAGGATGGCGAGCGATGTCGAGAAGCCTTGATTAGAGATAACCAGATGACAATTCAGAACATTGTTATCCCCCGCAATGTATTCAACCATCCATGAGAGATGTTGTTGCTGGAGTCAAACTTGAAAACCGTACAATATTTCTTCACCACACTTGGCACATAGGTCTTGTGGTGAACTGGTGTCTTTCGGATTTTTATTTTTTTTTAATTTTGGGCTTCCATGGGAGCAACTTTGACTTAAACTTAAAATGGGGGTAGTTATGCAATCAATGTAACAAGTTGATGTATTCATGACAAGTATTTACCATTGGCCTGGGATACTGATGACTTGGTCCTCATGTTGACATTGCAGACCACAACTTCTGCTCCTTGTCAAGCTAGATGAAGATTTCACACCTAAATCTCCAAAGCTGATGACATTTGCATGTCAGCTGAAAGCAGGTATGTTTTACCTGGAAGAACAAAATTATTGGTATTTGGTGTGTTTTTGGTAGGTGATAATTACTCATACTTTTATCAAAATGTTTCTGTTACAGAAATAAGTTATCTCTATATTCAATCCGCACATGTGGGATTAAGATCTAAAAATCACTTTACGTGAAGCTATTGGCCAGTTGAAACATCTATTAACTGTTTATTCACAATATTAAAACTAGAAGTTTCTAGGATCACATTATTGACATAATGAGGATTGATCCACGCAATTGGGATACAATGACATGCATCAACCAAGTCCAGCCTGACCACCTGATCTCGTTAGTTGCCTCTTACGACAGGCATAGTCACCTATTACGGCAAGCATGGGTTGCTGAAGACATATTCTACCCTGGATCTTCACGGTTTGACATGGTTGATAGCGTGTCATCATACCCCAATGGCATGGATAGTTGCTCATGACATCAGTCACTGGATTGTCTGGTACAGACTTGACTATTTACAGGCTGTTGTCACATAGCTGAATGCCGCGTTAAATGACAAGCAAAAGAACAATTCATTACACAAGATCAATGTTTTCAGGAAAAGGCCTAACAATGGTGAACAGCGTCCTTGAAGGAGAATATGCTGAACACGTGGATGATATCAAAACTGCAAGGAAGGTAGGCAAATGTATACAATTAACTTGGTGTCATATCTTGGTTTATCTTACCTAACATGATAACTGATCATTACATTTAAGTAATGTACTTGTGTTCATGTTTGATGCTGTAATGACTTTCAGACCCTGGATGACTGGATTGAGAAGAGCAAGATCCGAGGCTTCTCCGATGTAGTCATGTCCCACACATTAGAAGAGGGCATCTGCCATGTGTAAGTGATCCTCACTTCTGCAGTGTTCGAAATTATGAGAGTCCTGCTAAAACGTGCAAGCCAAAAATGTGATAGATAACAAAGAGATCTATAAAGCTGCATAACTCACCTTGAATACTTGCAACAATAGATTACAAAAGGCCATAATGAAACAATATAAGTATCTGAGTGAATATTTCATGATGATAGGCCGTAGAAGGATAAGACTTTGTGATCTATCAACCAAACATTAATGATTTTACAAGAATTAATACTTATAAACAATACATTCACGTTATTGTGGAATGTGTTAGTGTGATAAATTATGAAATGGTAAATCTGTATGTTGTAGAATCCAGAATGCTGGTCTTGGTGTTCTGCGTCACAACACAGTGATGCTGGCGTGGCCAGATGAATGGAGTGAGCAGAGACGGGAGAAGGGCTACAGAGTCTTCCTGGGTAGGTGACTCTTCCTCCTTTAATGCTGTAGATGACTGCTGTAGGTGACTGCTGGATCAGAAGCTGTGTGGCTGCGTACAATACGCATAATAACATACCAGTACCCAAAACACTTCAAGCTGCTTGTGTACAAACACGCAGAAAAATGTGATCAAACCTCAAAGTATTACAACACCTGCTTACCTGTATTTCTTTAAAGATCTGTCTTTACTGATCAAATGAAGGCATCACAATTGCATGAAATCTGTCACATTAAAAGAGCATTTTAAGAGGAATTATTAGTAAGATTGGTTGTACCCGCAAACAACTATCACTTCCCAATGCGAATGAGAACCTGTGGTGAAAGTACTCACTGGCTCAAAACATGATCTGGAACCCTGTTGGGTTTTCTGCCATTAGTAACAATGCTATGCACTGCCATTGTACTTAAAAGTTAAACTTCTTATATACTATACACAGAAACAAAGGAGTAACATGTTGCTGATTATATCTGGTATAGTGTTATTAATGTTCACTGACATTACTTAATGTGATGTTTGGTCATGTAATTATGGATGTCAGTACAGCCTATTGTCAACAGCTGTCATATTGTCTGGAGTTTGAACTATGAACAAGCAAATATCACTCAAAATATCACTTTTCTGCATGCTGGAAATGGTGGCCTAGGCTTTACATGCAACTACAAGTAGGGAGTGGACAATTATGTTGACATGTTGCAGAAAAAATCAGCATGTCAATAAAGTATATTTTGGATTTGTATTGACAAACTTGAAGTGTAAGAATGAGAGTACATCATCAGAACAGGTATCATGCCTCAATATACTGGTCAAGCCACTAGTCCTTGCAATGATAACACGCAGCAAAACCCATAAAAATGGCAAATTTCTACTTGTCCTTATGATACCTTAACTATTGTGCAATTTGGCAAGGACTACAGGACTAATGCCAATTTCTAACACTTTCAAGTGTACTTTTTTATTGTGTCTATATATCACTCACATATATTTCTGTCAGTAGTATATATGTTTGAACTGATAGGTCAGTGTTGGAGATTAAGGGGTCACCTTGCTGTGAAATTTAAATCTTGTCAGATCTTGATGGAGACCGAAATCAAATAGGGGTAAAAGATCTTTGTTTTTATGAGATTTAAAGTACACCTTCTTGAATCTAGGTATTGGTTAGCTCAATGTATATCTGGATAGCTGATTGTTAATAATTTTGTGAAAAATAACTTTTAAAGAATGTCCCATGTTCCAGAAACCCTGAAGAACATAAATGCATCCGAGTTATCTCTGATGGTGCTAAAAGGCATTGACCACTTCCCTGACAGCTCTGACAGACTCCGAGGCACTTTGGACATATGGTGGATTGTACATATCCTTGTGATGTCACTCTGTATAGAATCAAGGTGTATAGCAAGTCAGTAAAGAGGAATAGCCCTTACCTGACACCTCTAAATTAAGCACATCTATCTGTCAGATGTTGCTCATTATTCCATTTGTTCACTATCACTCAAGACTCAATAAAAGTTTAGAGGAAGAAAAAATAAATTCAATAACCTATTTTTTTAATTTGCTTAAAGTATATTATCAAAGTTTCGGTATAAAATGTTAAAAATAATCTGAAATGCTGATGCTTCAATATACATGTACTATGTTTTTGAACATTTCTTTGGGTGTAATGTTACTGCCATTTTTTTATTATGTAGCAGTTAATGTTATGAAGTATGTAAGGCCACACCTTTTTTACTTGCTCTATAGATCCACCAACCACATTTTGTTGAAATGGATTTTATTTTTTTCAGAATTTGCTCTCTTTTTCACCCACCAATAAGCTGATAGCATATTGCACCCAAAAAATATTTTCTAACAGGACCCCTGAAGTTGACATTATTAAACATGGAAGTCAGAAGAAAGTTTGTTGTTTAAGTGAAACTGATAGGATGCATAGATGCACAATAGTATTCCCGCTTGATTAATCAGGTTTGCATTGCTTAAAGCATTTAACAGTTGTGTTGCAGGCCCCCTTCCCACATTAAACCATTTATGTTTTTTGTATACCATCCATCTTGTAGTGGAGCAGAAAACTAAAAAACAACCTGAATTGCTTTCCTTTTTTCCCACCTACCAACATGTATTTTCCTGTAAAAAATCATGTCATCATATCCCAATTCCGAGGATCGATGTTCATGATGTCAATCACTGGATTGTCTGGTCCAGACTCGATTATTTGCAGACCGCCGTCATATGGCTGAATATTGCTGAGTGCGGCGTTAAACAACATGAAACTGAAACTGTAATAAATCTGTAAAGCAAGTTAAAAAAAAGGTGTTGCATAAGCTTCCAATATGTAGAGAATGATGATGACTATGTAGTAATTTCATACAGACCATTTCCTTAACCTTCTCCACATGATGGTGGCCTGCTGATGTTACTACCTTTTCTTCTGAAACAAAATCGAACTTGGAGCAAATGTACTATCAGGATCTTCACAGTTGCCCGTATCCTTTTGAGACAGTTCTGTGCTAAGTAATTGTGATCAACATGGCGCAGTGTGCAGGGGAATCATTGCATCTGCCTGTCACCAGTATTGTTTCAGGACCTGATGTTCAAAATATTCCTGTTGTCCCCTTATAACTTAGCCTGGGATATGTTTCAAGCATGTGCTCTAGTGGTGCTTTTGCAATTATCCGTTTCTGTTCAAATAATGTTTTCTTAATATTTGGCAGTGATGTTCATATCTGGAACAGAACTCCAAATACATATAAATGTATCAGTAAGTGCCTTTACTGGTTAGAATATGGACATTGAATCTTGTGTCTGTGTAGTATCGGTGAAGCACCCATTAATCCTGAAAACCTGCTTTCCTGACGATTATTGTGGGAATATCTGTATGTATTTATGTAAAGAATAGATATTACTAAGTACCCATGATTCGTTAATTCAAATTTGATAATATTGACGGTTTCTGTGGGAATGGTACAATTCAGATTAACGGAAATTATGTCCACAATCATCTAGGTTGACACAAATAATAGAACAAACAAATATCTGAATTTTGGATTGCATCTTTAAAATCACTTGCCATATATTAATTTCATATACCATAAACGTACCTTATTGTAAGAGTAAAAACGTTTCTCATGTTTATCCCCAAGAAGTGTGTGGAATGCTCAGTGGTTTCCTTAGCTGTGTCCAGAGCTAGAGGACAACAGTATCCAACTGAAGGAGGATCTCAAGAAATACCTCTACCATTTGAGGATCAACGCAGAAGTACAAGTTGTGGAAATGGTACACAATGTCAAAAATGTTTTAGTTTGCTGTTTAATGTGCCTGAAAAGCCTTGAAATCCATTGCCAGTCCTTGTAAACTGATGAATTATGACTAGGCACTCTTGAAAACGAATAGTATCATAAAAGATAATAAAAGATGACATACAGCATTTTAGACTTTTGCATGAACAGACTTTTGAGGTTTATAGCATTATCTGTTGATGCAATATAGTATATTTGAATATATTTTGAAAAGTGCATGGATTTTACCTCTGTGAAATGAATGCCTATGTATATCGGTCTGTTACAGTATGACAATGATATTTCTGCCTACATCTATGAAAGGACACTACAGATGGAACAGAGGACCAAGATACTGCAGCAAATCAACTTGAATAAGAAACATGTATGTACCAGTACAAAGTCATCTGTGATGGGGGATATCAACATAGTCAAGGAACACTACAGTATTTTATGTGAATAAGTTGGAAGAGTGGGTTTTCTCTTGGATTCAGTTATACTTCTCCAAATGTTTTGTGCAATCATACTTTGAATTTTGAAGCCTCCATGTTCATAAGAAAATTCACCTGACATGACATCCGATAGAGCATTTGTCAAATCTTGCTGGACAGTGGATTCATCTTTCAATCCCACAATGCACTGGTGGTAGATGTAGTGTGTTTTTGGATTATAGGACAATATGAGTTACTGGGTATAGCCTTTTTGGACCACTGGAATTGACAAAACAAGTGAAGAAGCTGTTAGTCATTGTGTTATAATGTTTCTGAATGTGATGGTGTTGAAAGTCAAACTGGCAAGTGTCATTTTCACAGTTTGAATAAATGACAATCATTGAATTCTTTCAACAACTTGGAGTCAATTCCACTGAGGTTCTTTTGTGACTATAGAAATACTGATATGACTTTGGTGTAGATGACTTCCTGTTTTTGTTTTACTCAGTGGTCCATAGTTAAGTTGTTCCAGTTTGAGACGCAGGAGTGTTATTTCAGAGTGTGCAGGAGGCTCAGTCCATCATGGACAGGATTCATCGAAAAAGTAGCATCAAGCTGCCGACCCAGCAGGTCCAGTTCAGCGTGGAGTCTCACAGCACCCTGTCTGTGGAGCCGGAAGAGAGGGTTCACTACACCTTCACTGGCGGCAGCAGCAGAGGAGCAAGAAACCCCCATGATGTTGCGTCAGATGAAGATGCCACACCGTAAGTAGAGACCATGTCCATTTCTAATGATCCCCCTTCACGTGCACCTTTATACATATGTGTGTATATTTACATACATGTGTAAATATACATATATTCATGTGAATGCGTTTACTCGTGGGTATAATGTGTGTATAATTACACGACGAGCAAATTTGCATCATGTCTAGAGCAGGTCCTAATGTAAATTTACAAAAGTGCAAATTTGCACTGTGTGTATATGTTGTCATGTAAACGTTTATGCCAATGACTGGGGATGATCTTATTCATATATTTGTTGATTTGCCAACACCAAAAAAATTGTCAACAGTCCTGTTAATGCTGCCCAGTACACAGCGTAACCAACTTCTATTGACATCGAGCAGGGTGGACAGTGTTTTCTTTGGGTTACAAGGATTACCAATTTTGTGTACAGATTAAGTCTAACAAGTTGCTTCGTGCAAAGATTTCTGTAAGATAACTCTCTTCTCATTTGACTTTGATTGGAAAACAACCCTTTTCATGTTTGAAAGTCATCAAGGGACTGTGTGTGCCTTATACTATTTACATACCTTATTTACACACCTTAGTTGATTTTCTTGTGAACACACAGTAAATTCACTCATTCACATGTATGTATAGTTACACTTTTGCAAAATTACTTATGTTCTGGAGAACTGTGAATATGAACTTGGAATATTCGTGCATGTTTTCGTTATGTTCGGTTTAGAATTGAGCAGGCAATTGGTCGTATGTTAGATGGACTAGTGTTCCATTTGTATTACAAGACGGCCTATCCTTTTATATATTCAAACTTTAGGTTAATATTTGACGGCTTTAGCTATAGACAGGTCTGTATTAGTCATTTAAGTATCAGGACATCATTTTGTGCAGTTGTGCAAAAATACAAATAAGAATAAAAAGTGAATTGAAATATTTTTGAAAGTCTTTAGTGTTTATTTGGAAAACACTGTGTAACAAATGGGGTATAATATTAGTAGATGTAATTGTTGTAGACATAGTTCAAGATTTCTGGAGCCAATGTCTAGTCTTTGTTTTGGCTAATGTTAAGGACCAACAGGTGTTTACAGTTTTAAAAATGAAATGACATTCAGGGTTTAAAATCCACTGCAAAAGAACAGCACTTGTGTGTACTATGTTACGTTACAACAGTTACATTTGATGGTGACTTCTGCACCCAGTAATCAAGCTTATAAATGAGCAGCACACAGTATATATGTTCATGTATATTTACAGATGCTTTTAAAATGAACTAATTACAACATGATCTGGAACAGTTAACAGAACCGGATCTTTTGAGTAGCATCTAGTCATATTTAGTCATAAGATGTGTAAATAATTACACCTACATATCACTCACTCACTCACTCACTCACTCACTCACTCACTCACTCACTCACTCACTCACTCACTCACTCACTCACACTCACTCACTCACTCACTCACTCACTCACTCACTCACTCACTCACTCACTCACTCACTCACTCACTCACTCACTCACTCACTCATACATTGCTGTTTCAGAGATTCCAGCAATGTCAAGAGGATGCACACAGCTGTGAGTCTCAACCAGCATATCAAGGATAAATCCAAAGATGCACAACTTGTCATCCTAAACCTTCCTTCACCTCCGACTTCAGAGACCAGGCATTCACACTGTATCCATTTACAACATAATGAATATGATTATTATCTCTCTTGCTTGAGGGGGTAGAGATTTAGTGAGCTTTTAGCAATATTCCAGCAATATCACATAGGGGAACACCAGAAATGGGCTTCACACATTGTACCAATGTGGGGAATCAAACCCGGGCCTGCTGCATGACATGCGATTGCTGTAACCTCTAGGCTACCCCATGCCCTGTCTAGTAATAGCCTAATAATAACGTCAAAGTTTTGAAAAATTATGATTACAGCTTAACTTTGTTAATAAAATAAATAACATTTTAAAACAAAAAAACATTGATTGCATGTTTGCATGTCTTTATCATATTTAAAGTTGATTTTTTATGGCAATTTCAACACACCTAAGACAAATAGAACTCCTCTCATGGACAATAAATCCTTAACCAAACTGAGATATGTCTTTCCTGGAGGTACTGACTGAAGGACTGGATCGAGTGTTGATGGTCCATGGAAGTGGCAGCGAGGTTATAACTATCTACTCCTAGATGCTGTTGAGACTAGCACTAGCACCAGGCATGGAGGCTGAACATCTGGAACCGGGATCTCTAATATCTGTGATCCAAAACTGTGATTAACCATCCTCAATTATCCAGTGATTTGTATCTTCATTCTATCTCCGTTCTATTACCCGGGGCCCATTCACCACAAAAGCTTGCTTCTGGAAGTGACATCACCATCTCATCTGCATTATCATCATCTTAGCTCATAATGTCTCTTCCTCATGAGCTTGAAAGGAACAACCAATCAAAACACTTCTTAACTAAAGATGAGCTTGGAGACAGGTTGAGTCAGATTTAATTGATACATTGGAATCTTTAGCTGGAAAGATGATTTCTTGAGTATTAAGACTGGTCAGGGAATCCTTATGCTACAAGACATTCCGAGGTGCACTTTAGAACTTGCAAAATTGCTCCCATTTACAATCATGAAAGAATAGAGAAACTTGATTGGACGTCTATTTCTTGTGTTGTGTCAATCGAGTCAGATTCAAAATGAAGCTATAGGATGGAGATATAATACACTGGATAATCGAGGATGGTGGTTAACCATCTAAACAAGAAGTTTGTTAAATGTCTGGTAAATTGATTCTTGTAATAGCCGGACTGACAGTTAGTTGTATTTCTGAAAGTCTTTACAAGTACCGGTAAGATTGTACATTTTCAATTTTTCAAGGCAACATGTTTAGAACAAATTAATGACTGCTGGTGGCCATCTTGGCCAAAACGAGCTTGCATCTTTTCTGTTGTTCAAGTAACCAGTTTCACTTCATAGGTGTATCCTAGAGCATGGGGCCTTGACTCTTCAGAAAGAATATTTGTTGTATGTCAACATGTATAATAAAATAACTCCAACTTGTGAAGACTTGAAGGCATAATTCATGTACATAAGTATCAATAAAATTAAGACAAAGATGACAGATACCTTTACTACATTTCTGTCCTTGCTAAGTTATTTGTATTTCTGTGCTTGCTTAGTTATTTGTTTATACAGTAAACTATGTTTCTAACAAAAGCGCTTATAACAAACTGTTGTTTGGTCCTGTCCATTTGCTGTATATATGCTTATAACAAACTATGGTTATAACAATCTAAAATGAGTGGTCCCTTTGAGTTGGTTATCAAGCTAAAATAAGTGGTCCCTTTGAGTTGGTTATAACTGTAGTTTACTGTATGTACAGACAAATTAGTGAAGTCAGCTCACATCTGTACCATCTGATTTTGTACTGATTGATAACTAATGAATATGTATGATTAGCTATTGTGCTTTGCTGGAAACTTCGATCAATGTTGACCTTATGGACAGAATATGTAATGATTCTAGTGAGCCAAGATAGTGTCCTGTCTCTGGTGCTACCATAACTCATTGTCTTAACTTGATGTCAATTGGACCATGATACGTTTGTATTTTGTAGGATTGGAATGTTGCCTCTTGAAAGTGTGTCTCATGACAGCTACTGTCACAGGGTTTTAAGAGATGAGGACTACAAATAATTTAACAGCTCTGTTTATCCTATTTCACTCTGAAAATGAACAGCATCACCGTTGTTGGTATTAAAGACGAAACACAAGAAAGATTTTCCCAGTTCCAAAACCTTTCTTTGTGTGTTGATGTTAGCATTGCACACAACTTCATGAAAACTTCTTTTTGAACTGCTTCCTTAAACCCTTCCTTCACATCAACCTACACTCAAGTTGTGTTATATTTGTGATCTCCAGTCGTAGTGCTTTCTCCTGGAGCTTCTTGGTGAGTACTCTTCATCCATTGCTTGTACACGGTGACTACATTGTACATGGATTTGGTATCTGTTGTCGACTCAGCTATTTACAGTCCACCATCATATACCTGGAATATTGCTGAATCCGGCATAGTGCTTCAGGAAGACTAGTGAGTTTTGACTATACCTTTCATAAATCTGCACATAATGATGTACATTATTCTGGAAATGAAAGTACTGTGGTACATGTTTTAAATGACATTTGGACTAACATTGCTATCCTTCAAAGTGCTAACTTGTCTTGTGGATTTTCAGTTCTAAAAATTGATTCAACTCCAAGTTGGTAAGTTTTTCACTTATTAGCTGGTGTATGGACTTCATATTTCCAAAGTGTTTCATTCTGCCAATTATGTCAACAATTTTTTTGTCATAATAGATTATAAAATTGATATACAGAAAGGGATATATGTAGTCATCATTCAAGAAAGCAGCATGTTTCTTCTTTTATGTTTTATTTCACTATATTTTGCCTAATTCACAGTTTTATTTTGAAGGTTATAAGTTATGAAGTTTAATTGATGTATCGGGAATGAACAGAAAGTTTGGAGTCTTTAGATATTTGATCTTAAAGTAAGGGATTGTACCAGCAAATTAGTATTGCAATACAAAGTATATCATGCAACCCTATTTAACACTATGATCTCTTCTCAAGTTTTACAATCATGATTGTTTTTACTTAGAAACTGAAAATATTAAGGTATTACATGTCAAAATGATGTGTGATAATATGTCAAATACGAATAAAAAACAAATACATTTGTAGTTTGTCCCCTGTGCAGAAGTAGACCCAATGGCAAGTCAGTTTGCATGTACAACACAAGTTTCTTGTTGCAACAAGATGTTTTTTAACATTGTTCAAATAATATTTTTTTAGGAAGTGTTTGTAACATTTCCAAAGCATCAACCTTCAAAATCTGTTCCTGTACTATTTTTGTAGCCCAGTGGTACTGAAGTTCTTAAAAGATCTCCATGACAAAACTGTAGATTGTAAGGACCACATTAATGGCCCACATTGTGTTACAATGAATTGTAGCCTGTAGATTTCCTGTTTCCGTCATATTCACTTATAACACAAACCAAGCAATTTTGACCAAGGTCATTCAAACAACACTTTAGGACTTAACTGTCCTTAGGTGAATTACCGTATTCGATGTAATAAGCGCCCAGGGCACACTCAAAATTAGAAATAGGAGGCTCTGATTAGAATAATATTTTGGTGAGAAAAAAACAGTTGAAGATCGTAAATTTTGTGGTTTATGCTGACAGCCTGAAATGTTTATATACGACAGATATAATTTTCCAGAATTTAATTGCCAATAATTAAGGGTGCATATAACACACGAGTGCGTATTATACACGAATAAATAAGTCTTGTGTACATTGATCAATTGGAAGGGGTGCAATGGGGATTGTTCATTAGTGGGCGCTTATAAGAGCGGGGCGCTTATTACGTCGAATACGGTATGTGTATTGGTAAAATAGTATCTGGTTACCCAAATATATATTTTAATTGTACTCAGCCATCACTTATATGATGGAAATTTCACACCCTGAAACTATCCTCATGGCATGTTAAATAACATTGAGCAACACACCTGTAATAAACATTTCCTTTAATAACTGCCTCACCTGTTTGTATTTTCCTTTGTTATTCAGTTTTGTGAATTTGTTTTTTATTGATTCTTTTGGTTCTTAGATCCAATGTGTCAGTTGTGGTTTTTTTACCTTCAGCATAAACTGCAGGAGGATATAGTGATGAGCAAGTCCATCAGTCCATTTCGAAAATAGAAATAATCAGTGCTAGGTTGTGTTAGGTTTTGGAACTTATCATTTCTTCATGACAAGGCCCACAACATCTGCATAATGAAAGACATGAACAAATTCCTAAAATCATGGACTTGCACATAGTTGAATCCTTCTTCAAGAAGATGTTCTTCTGAAAATTGTCCTTTTTCTTCTAATCCATACTTCTGCCCAGGAATGAGTGAGTTGGATTTAACATATCTTTGAACAGTATTCCAATTATATCACGACATCGCAGTTTCATGTGGGAGGAATGTTTCATACAAAATCTTACCAAATTCTGAAATTTTGTAATTTGACGTTTCCATCCAAAGGGATGTGTCAGCTTCTGATGACTCATTTGGTTTTCCTGTAAATAAAATTATTGGCTATGTTACAATTTGGGCATTTGATTGGCTAACCTATAAAACACACGCACGCACGCACTCATGCACACACACAAACACACATATTAGACCATGCCCACTAGTAGATTACTGTTTCCTGAATGGCTAATAATGGGCTTGAGTTGCATTATTTCGCTGAGTGATGTCACTGATTTCATATTGTTGTCTACAGTGTTTTTGTTAATGATTAAAAAAGCAGTCTGTGAATTCATTATTGCTTACATTTGTATTGATAAGAAATGACTTCAGTATGGTTTTATATTTATGGAACATAGAAACAGTGTACACACTGCTTTTTACAATTATACCTCCATAAACGCCAAAACATAGTGAAGTCATTTCTGAAGTATTCAGCAGGAAGTTTGTGTAACAATATGTATTTCTATTCTCTGTACGACTAACACTTTACCATGTGCTTACACTGTCTGACAGTCATGCTAGGTTATTGCTGTTTGTGGTGTTTATTGGAAGACAACATTCTGGATGAGATTTGATCACTGAACATAGTAAAGCACTTTAAAGGGTTGTCATTTTCTTTGCTGGCTTTTATATTTTTTTATTTTAGATTGTTAATGGTAAAGTTGCAAGTTCAGTCTAGCAATACCATCCTACCTGCAAAATGTTTTGCAGAAGGTTATTTAAATGGACACAGTCTGTGCGCCCGTGTGTCCATGTGTGCAAGATATTGTTTCTGGAGCAGATCTAGAAAACCAAACAATATTTCTTGCACATAGATAGGTCTGGAGGTGAACTTTTGATAGTTTAAAAATATAAATTCAAGTTTCCAAGGCAACAACTTTGACTAGACTGAAAATGGCATTAATGCTCATTTTCGGAGTAGATATTGCTTACTTACGAGCAGGATGAAGATTTTTGTGAATAAGTGAGAGGATTACATACATAGACTTTACATGGAACCTTCGAAAAGTCTCCCTCTTCTGACTTTATCAGAATTCATCTGACAACTTGGGATATATATAACAAACCATAGGGATAATCAAATCAATTGGTTATATCCACACTTGTTCACATGACTGATGATTTTATTTATCAACCCCTAAAAGGAATAAATGTGTATAGCCTGCTTGGTGCTGTATGTGCCTTGTTATATCTTGATTTGTCTGCATATACTGTATATTTCTGTTTGAACCAGTGATGTATTTACTATTATACATATGGGTTTGTTGAGAGAGATATATATAGGGACCAGTCATTGGATTATTGCAGGGATAGCCCTGGAGCTGTTTCTCCTGAAGTATTTCTCCTTTGGGGGGGACCCTCCACAAGTGCTTGTTCATGGTTTTCCATGGCTCTCCCCAATATTAGTTGTAAAAAGGTACTTGAACCATATAAAGGTTTTCATGGACGTTTCCTTGTTTTAGGTGACCCTCCCAGATCATTCCAGCTGAGACCCCTAGACTTATGACTGCCCTTGATATGACTGTGGACATTTTACGTTTCATGACAGTGAAATTATCAAATAAAGTGTGTGTATGATTTTGTTGTTGTTGTTGTTCGACAGGTCCTTGGATAGCTTATACCCACCCAAACAACGTTTCGTGTGTATCTAGAAACTGGCTCCATCTATCCATCCATCACATTTCGTTTTCAGAGCCTAAATCATAAACTGTTCAATGTGTCTTCCTGAAACTTTGTATAGACACCATGCATGCATTTATCTGGTATTTTTGGCTATTTAGGAATTTTATATGTTTTTTTCCTTTCCCTGGCAACATTGGGCAGCTATGTTGAAGGCTTGGAGCCTTGATGAAGACCCTAGGTCTGGACGTCACTCACTTCCATCAATGAAGATTCAATCAAGGAGATAGAATATATACTGTCAGATAGACGTATTACCATTGCTGAACTTGAAGAGAAGGAAGACACAGGTCTAAGCCATGGATGGATCCATTGAAACCATTAATCATGATCATTTATAGATGAATAAGATATCAGCTTGGGTGCCAAAGTTTCTAAATTCTGATCTAAAGGAAAAAAGAACTGATATTCCAAGAGAAAATTTAGAGCTAATTGAGAAATTCAAGAAGACATTAGTTTGTTTGTTCCAGCTATATGACGGCGGTCTGTAAATAATAGAGTCTGGACCAGACAATCCAGTGATTCACATCATGAGCATCGATTGTGATATCAAGCAATTGGGATACGATGACATGCATCAACCAAGTCAGTGAGCCTGACCACCCGATCCTGTTAGTCGCCTTTTACGACAAGCATAGTGACCTTTTACGGCAATACCCTCCGTAAGGTTTTAAATTCTGCTAGCCCTTAGGATACCTTTACCATTTAAAAAACTTGTCTGGGCTAGCAGGCTTGTAATAATTTCCATCCACGATGCTGACAAACACCAATGATCCTTGTCTTTTATACGAACCAACACACGAGCAAAAGGGAACTGCAGGAGTGACAACTTTTCTTTTAGCCTTAATACTTGAACAGGATATTGTTCAAATGTCATGTAGTAATTGTTTTTGATTGTTATGTACGATTAGGACCATGACGTCATATGTTTAAAATTCGACAGTGACTAAACAACAATGATGACAGTATCACGTGTACAGTATCAGTATGTACGTATGTTTATGTACGTAATAAAACATGGGTCTACCACTATGATCTGGTGTCAAAACACCAATCCATGGAATGGGACCATTTTTCCGTTGTCAAAGAAATTTAAGTCTTCAAGATAAGGGAAGAAAGTTATGGCTTTCAGGGTTTGATCCTTGTTGATTATTATACCCCCGTTTACGAAGTAAATCGGGGGTATATAGCGTTCCGTTCGTCCGTCCGAGCTTTTGTACGGCCCATAACTTTTTAACCATGCACCCTAGCTTCACCAAACTTGCTACACACATTTACCACGATGAGTACTTGTGCCTTTTGCTAGTTTGAAGATTCTGAACTTTTTAATATTGCCGTTTCCATGGAATCATGGTGAAACATAAATTTGGGGTTTGTACGATCCATGTTTACAATATTATGTATCCTAGCTTCAGCAAACTTGCTACATTAACCACTATGATTGTTTTTTATCTTTTATAAGATTCTGAAAGTTTTCTCTTTTGCTGTTTTCATGGAAACATGATGGAATTTAGAAATTTTGATGACTGGTTTTGTATAGCAAATATATTTTCAAAAATTGTTTCCACACATGTAGATCATCATAAGTATCTGTGCTTTGTGATAGTTTGAATTTATGAATTCTTTTCATATTTGTTAAGGCTTGATTGAAATTATTAATTTATTGATTTTCTTATATGATATTGTTCCATTTTTTATGTGTTTTTATATCAACATTTTTGGTCCTTTTGATAATTCTTATGTAACTCCTCAATCATTTTTTTATTCAAAGGTGTTCATGGTGATCTACTTCCTCGTAGTGAACACTGGTAACATGGGAGATTTGGGGGGGGAACTCAATCTTATTTTTTAAAACATTGAAGTTAGAAATCAGTGTTGACTCCCACATGTCAGTAGGTATAGTTGTTAACGTAAATAAAAACATAAGTCAGTTTCTTCAGTAACTCGATATGATATTCAGACATGAACAAAGGAACACTAACACACAATCCGCGATTATTTTACACACGGAATTACAAGAATGTGAAATCAATATGAATTAAAGAACCAACACTCAAACAGTTTATAAAGTTTGTTCCTTATGGCGAGGGTCGTAATCACAGTTCGTGACGGATCTTTCCAATTGGCATTTCCTTTGTAGATCTAACAGAAAGGTTCCTGGAGGATCGGGTTGGTTTCTTTTCAGCAACATGTCCTCTCTTGGTGTCTTTCAGAATGGATCTTACACTGGAAGTGACCTTCAACTTGGTTTCATTCTTATCTTTAGCCAGCATCAATGTGTCACCGGAAGCAGAGAAGTCTGTCTTGACCTGTGAGATATTGCTTGGAACTTTGTCCTTAGACTTTCCTGTGTAAGGTCTTCGAGCCTTCCTTGGTTGAACTGGAGGACCGACGCTGGAGGAACTGGTCCGCTTATTGGCAGGAGTGTGACAGGTCAGAGGGGCAGTCTGGCGCTGGAGAGCTGCCAGCTCTTC